GAATACTGATTGGCTGACAATGTGATGTAATTTTATAAGCAAAACATAAATTATCTTTATATTAAAATAAAGAAATACAAAGTCAAATCCATTCTACTTTATAGTGGCTCAGATACCAAATTTTTACCTTCATTATCCAGAAATTTGACAAATAGGGTTTTAATTTTTCCTGTTAAAAATGAGCCACCATAAGATGAAGCAATTTGTGAACATAATTAGTAGCTGATTGTCTTAGTGTATATGGATTTATAATAGATTCTTAAGTATATATGTTTTCTTAAGATCAGATTTATATGTCTCTGTTTTAAATTACCTGTTACATTTTCTTCTGCAATGTAAAAAAAAAAATCCAAGTTACATAATATGGCAAATGAAAATTGTTTTCATTTATGTTTACATACTGCCAGAATTAAAACTAAAATTAAATAGTACTAGTCTTAAATATTTATTTCCTATGAAATAAATTTATTGTTTTTATAAACTCTTATAACACTTGTTTTTCATTTTTCTTAAGAACAAGATGCTATCGTTGTTAAAGAGAATCATTTGTTGATTAGAATTTACTCCTCCAAATCTGGGGAATAAGTGGCTAGAAAACCCATGTTTCATATGTCCTTTAACAAAGCATGCAGACCACTGAATCATAAAAACTCAGAGTCAAAGTCAAATACCAGGTACTAGATAAAAGAGCTCATTCAGTATATGCATCCCAGTGAATATCAATCTCATCTTCTAACAAATATTTATAGTAACATCTAGCATGTCAACATCTAGCTCAGCTATTAGGATGTAGCAGGGACAATTCAGTAATTGACAGCTGCAGTTCTTTTTTTTTCTGTATTTTTAAGGAAGGGTCTACAGGGTGTTCAGGGTCTTACTACTAGATTAGATTCTCAATGTTTCTTCTGTTTACAGCCTCCCAAGTGCTGGGATTATAGGGACACGCCACCACGCCCTGTCTGACAGCTGCAGTTTTTACATCAGTAAAACCATTAATATGAGTTCAAGTTAATTTTATCTTTTTTGTAGACAGCTGTAAAATTCTAAAGTAATATTAAATGTTTGATCTATTCATAAACTCAGTTTGTGGATTATATTGCATGATGTTCTCAAGTTTAAGATTTAACAAATAAGGAAATAGTAGTAGGAACTGCAAGGTACACCACAGGGGCCCACCACTCACTGGTTTGGTCAACTCAGGCATCTGACTGGTCACTAGGTCCTGGCTGTTTATCTGTTTTTAAGGAGATGCTGTTCTGATCTTCCTGACAAGTGGTGAAGCACACAGGAGTACAGCTAAGGTCTTCGTTATTTGTTTTTGCTGGCTTGTGAACTTCCGCAAGCAGCAGAGCACTAGATCATGGAATTGAATCCAGACTTCTTGCTCAATTTCTTGTTCCTACAGCAATCCCATCTATCCTTTATTGTATTTAACCTAAATGATACTGGTTCTATATTGCAGCTAGAGCAAGCTGAACTTTATTTTCCTTTTATCAAGAAAAACATACCTGTGTATATTCTTAACAAAAGTTACTGAGATTTCACCTTGAATCCACTTCGAGTTTTCTCCTGTTTCTGTATATATTACATTCAACATGCATTGGTCACATGGTATAAAATATGCATTCTGAGGCATATTTAATCATTATATTGAGTGGTGGTCACTCAAGAAACTGACCATTTTGAAGCAGATTTGTTAAATATTTAGCTAGAATACCTTAAGTATATACTAACTTTGTTTTAGTTTCTTCTGTCTGTCTTTCATTTATATTTTTATTTTTTTCAGTATAGGTGATTGAAACCAGAAATTCTCCAGCTATTCACTGATTTTCTTGCTTATTTATTTATTTATTCATTCCTTTATTATTTTGGTATTTTAGGGTAGGGTCTACAGGGTACTGAGTGTCTCACTACAAGCTCAGGCTCAGTTATCCACCTGTTTACACCCTCCCAAGAGCTGGGATTACAGGAGTGTGCCACCACACCCTCAATTGCCATCTCAGCATGTCCTGGGGGCAAGGCCAGCATGCCAGGCCTGGGGATCAAACCCTTGGCCCCTGCACCTGCTTGCAGGCCCTTTAATCCTCTTAGCTATCTGGCCACCCCTTATTTATTGATTGATTCATTCATCTATTTATTAACTTATTTATTTATTGAGAGGCCTCTCTACATTGCTGACTTGAGTAGAACAGGCCTGGACTTAAGGTTCACCTGCATTAGTTTTATGAATGCTGGGATCGCAGGAGTGTGGCGCCATGCCTGGCTTCACACTAGTGGTCTTCTTAACTTCAATCAATGAACTTTTTCTGTTCTTGCTGTTATTGAAGTACAACCTATGTTTCCAAAAATTGTGCAAAATTTAAAACTACAGTTTAGAAATGAACGCACATATTCTCTACCAATTCTCCAGAACACCTCCACATATTAATGGAGACATTAATATGTGGACATTAATTTCCCTTATCTATTCAGCTGGCTTAGGATATCACAAATGTATCTGTGAAATTTATATTACAGTTCCACACAGTATTTTACATTTGTACCCAATCCCTATTATTCTGTTTGGATTATCCACCTATGTTGTGTGATGTGGTAGTATAGTTACTTAGGTACTTTTACAATGCTATTGGATTTCTCTGCTTTTGGTTCACAAAGTATTTGTAAGCTGCCTGGTCTCCAAATAAAATATTAGTGTACCAGATTGATCCAGAATAATTGCAAACTTAAATAGCTATAGGAACTGAAGAAATAAACTCAATTTATTATTTGCAGAACTCACGCATATGACAGACTCCAAGGTGGCACTGGTCCCCCTATAGAACAATATGCCTGGGTTTGACATAGTAGCCAGGAGCGAACCAGTTTGCTAGATCCTGTAGTACCAACATCTAGATGCTTGACATACAGAAATAAGGTCTAAGAGTTGCCATCTTTTGTTTTTCACAGAAAAGTCAAACATATTTTTGGTGGCATTTTGTTGGAGTTGACCCTAATTCAATGCTTTTAACGATGGTGGTCTATCCGAGCACAATGAAGAGTCTTTGTTCACGTCTCTCAGGCAGCCTGCAGAGCTCTGCTTTTTAAATGATATAGCTGTGCTCTTAGTGGTGGGCACAAGTCCCTTGCTGTTCCTTGCTAAGTTGTATTAAAGAATTATTTCCTGTTGCTGGTAGATGATCTCAGAAATTAATACTGACATATTTTGCTATAGTAGTTACATATGTTCCTCCTTCTCTACTGTTGTTCCACTAAAAATTTAATAGTTAGCTTTTGCTATTTAACCTATTTAATGTGCTAAAACAGAATTCAAAAGGAAAATACAAGAAAGGAATATTTTATAATTACTAAATCCTATTTACATATAGCAATCGAAGAAAAAAATCTTTCTATAAAGCAGTTTGATAAACATCAGTACGGTCCAAAGTGAAAAATCTCAGTATGATCACTATTTTAACAAATTATTTTTTAAAAAGTCTTAAACCTAGAAATATCACTGAACATTTTAAAATGCAACCATCTTTGGGAGACAGTACAATTAACCCAAGTTCTTAACAGTATAAAAATTATTACGAGACAATTTTTATAAAAATATTTTTAATGAATAAATTCATATCAAGTACCAGAAAACCATTAGTGGAATAAGAAAAAAATATGCTAACGATAATGTTATACCTTTCCTGACTGCCAGAGTTAGTTAATAATGTAGGTTAAGACACAGATAAATTTGAACTACCTATTGGTAATTTGTTTGTTTTGTTTTTTGGTAATGAGAATCAAATTTACCAGCTCGCACTTGCCAGGCCAGCACTGTGCCGCTGCACAACTTCCCCCGAACATAAAAGTTGAAGTTATCCAACATTGGAAGAAAATACACATCTGCAATGTTTAGTACATAAATCATAAGGATAAGTGTATTTCAACTTTCTCAAATAGTATCTCATAATCTATCCTTATTTTATATAAAACAATTGTGGTCAAAACAGTTTTAATATGTTCAACTAAATATTTATAATTATTGCTTTGGCAGAAATACTTTTGAAGTCCTTGAATTCTAGGTTTGGATATCGTACTTTGATCTGAAACGCTAGAAGAATTTGTGTTCAAATGCAATTTCTCTTTTTGGACAATAGGAGTTATCCATGGAGTCTGGAATTGACCCTGGCCAGGAATATGGACAAGATTATTACAGTTATGATCATGGGTACATCTTTGAACTTTTTACTGAGAATTTCATTATAATATTTACTAAATAAGGGGGTTACATCATTATTACTAGAGTTTTTTAAAAATTACTTTAATGTTTGAAAATGAGTAATCTGTACACCTCTATTTTCAATCAGGTTTTAAGCATTTTCTTCATAATCATTGGTTTTAATTCTACAAATTCTATGATAAATCTAATAAAAATATTAAATGTGAATTAGAAGTCAAACATATTTGCTCAATTCCTGAATTCACCATTTCTGTCGTGTGTCTTCTGTCTATGACTGAATTTTTTCCCAAGAGTTATTACAAAAAAGAAGACAATTCAAAATCTAAAGTATTTCAAAAATTGCTTCTACACTTTTAAGTTAACTGCTTTCAAAAATACAGTGGAACAATGGAAATAACACCACAGACCATGTTTGAAGCTAACATTTACTATAATATATAGACTTTTATTGTGAATAGGCTATCGTACTTACAGAAGGGGCACATTTTGTATCCTACTTTTTCACCTAAGTAAGGAATATTCTCCCTTTTTTTCACTCTATATTTTCACCAAAAACTTATGTATGAAATAACTCAACTGCTTATTGTTATTCCAAGGTACTATTATGGCAAAAATCTTTGGTCATCAGGTAGTAATTCTTAAGGACTAGTTTTGTGACTAATTTTCTAGGGACACAGTAAGTGGCACATAAATATCTGTTGTCTAAGTGATGAAGAAAGAGAAGCAAACAGCTCATTTTACACAGATCACATGAAAAAATACCAAAAGTCTTAAGTTTGTATTATAGGTATGAGATGCCTCAATACGGAAGTCGCCGTCGACTGCTACCGCCGGCTGGACAGGAGGAATATGGTGAAGTGGTGGGCGAAACTGAAGAGGAGTACGAGGAGGAAGAGGTAGCCATTCTCATTTTAATATGTGAGGTGTAAGAACAATATTTTAGTGCTATTTGACTATGGGTTATATAGTATTTAAATTTTGAGAAATCATATTCTTTTAGTACATTTTTTCATAGTTCTCCCCATTTCATTGCCTTGTTTATGGTAGAAAATTGTGAATAATTTAATGTATTCCATTTTATGAATTCTTAGACATATGATAAAAGCTACAGTAAACATTAATAGGCTGGGCATGCTGGTACATGCCTGTGATCCCAGCATTTGGAAGGCTGAGGCAGGAGGATTGCTGTGAGTCAGAGGCCAGCCTGGGCTACAAAGTGAGCACAAGGCCAGCCTAAACTACATACTGGAATCCTATCTCAAAAAAGACAAAAAAAAAAAAAAAAAAAAAAAAAAAAAAAAAAAAAAAAAAAAAAAAAAAAAAAAAAAAAGAAAAAGAAAAAAGAAAAAAAGAGTGCAAAAAAGAAAAGGAAAGGAAAAGAAAGAATAAATGAATAAATTTATTTTCTAAAATCATAAATGTTGCTCCAGAAGGACAGGATTATAATCCAATATTTTAAAAATTATGGGATGTAATACTTATTTGTTACTGAAAAATCTAGCATACCTAAAAATCATGGAAAAATAATCTCTATCTTTCAATTATGTGAGAAAAAAATAAATTTCACCTATATTTTGAAGAAATAATTTAGTTTAACAAGAGTATTTTCTGTCAAATTATTATATTTTGATTGCCATGTTTATTGGGAAAATTTCCCTTATTCCCCCACAAATCCACCCACATTCATAAATCAGATGAAGGGCATTATAGCTGTAATCCATTTATAATTCAAGAAAACAACCAAATTTCCCGTAAGCTTTCAGGTAAAGTAACACAGTTTCATGATTTAAAACACAATTTGTATTTTACCGAAAGGAACTTCATAAAGCTATTAACAAAAATTTAGGGATAGAAAAGGGAACGGACAGTGATTAATTGCCTCTTGGTCTAAATTTCAGAAAAAAAAATTAATATGAAAAAGCAAAAGTGAGATTGTAGAATTATGTAGCCCGGTCAAAATCAGAGTATTCACTCCTTCCAATCCGTACCTGTGTGCAGTAGATAGTTGTGTGACGTGTTCTGACAGCAGGCATGCACGGGCGTGTCGCCAGCACCCTGCAGGTGCCCTGATGCTCGGCGGCACGAGGCCAAAGCGCACTATCGCTAAGCTGATCCTCCCATTGCATTTTCACACTTCCAGGAAAAGCCAAAGAAAAGTAAACCAAAAGTTGCAATTAGAGAGCCTAGTGAGGAGGAAGAAGTAGTTGTGACCCTTGAGAAGCCACCAGCAGCCGAGCCTCCCCACACAACCTGGAAGAAGGCTAGGATATTCCCAATGATCTTTAAGAAAGTCAGGGGCTTGGCTGAGAGAAGAGGCGCCCCCGACCTCGAGGGCGAGGAGTGGCCGCAGCGCCTGGAGGAGGAAGACAAAGATTATCTCAAGTTAACTCTGGACCAAGAGGAAGCCACGGAGAGCACCGTGGAGTCCGAGGAGGAGTCCTCCACCAGCAGCGACTACACCGAGTACAGCGAAGAGGAGTCGGAGTTCAGCGAGTCGGAGACCACGGAGGAGGAGTCGGAGTCGGAGACGCCCTCGGAGGAGGAGGAGCCGGAGGAGAGCTCCACGCCCGAGTCCGAGGAGGAGTCCGAGTCCTCCGAGTCCGAAGGCGAGAAGGCGCGCAGGAACATCGTGCTGGCCCGCAGGAGGCCGGCGGCGGAGGAGCCCCGGGACGCGCGGGCCCGCGGGGCGCCTGCAGCGGGGGAGGAGCGCGCGGAGCTGGGGGCTGCCGCAGAGCTGGGGGCCCCGGACGCCCCCGGGGAGGAGGAGCAGGAGGAGGAGCAAGAGGAGGGCGGTGCAGAGTCGGCCTCGGCGCCCGGCGGCCCGGGCACTGCCGGGGAGGAGGAGGAGCAGGAGGAGGAGGAGGAGGAGTCCGCAGCGCGCAGCAGCAGCCCCAGCGGCAGCAGCAGCAGCAGCAGCAGCAGCGAGAGCCAGGCCGGGGCGCCCTGGGGCTTCCAGGTGCCCGACTACAGCGGAGGCGGAGGCGCGCGGGCTCCCGGGGCCGACGCCCAGGGCTACACCACGGCGCTCTGAGCGCGCAGCGAGGAGGTGGGGCGTGCCGCGTGCTCTGTGTGCCGTGCCTCTCTCTGTGTGCTCTCTGACGCGCTCTCCAAGGGCAGGATGTGGAGCGAGGTCGGCGTGTCCTAAGGGTGAATCCGGAGCTACCGGGACAGATTAGTGCACCAGAATAGTTAGAATGCCAGAGTGCGCGGGTGTTCTAAACCGACTGATCTTTCCGATTATGAAAAGGGGGGGGGGGGGGTGTCAGTGAGTCACCATTGTTTCCCAGCGAAAGAATGTAAACGCAGTGTGGGATGACATCTCATAGATTCTCTTCCACTGGACGGGTGCACACCTGTGCACACACACGTACACGTGTATTTAGTTGTGTACAATATGATACTTCATCTCTGTCAAATAAGTACAACAAGCTGCAAGGAATGAGATCACAAATGATCCGCTTTGGTATAGGTACACATCTCATTTTGCAAAGGTTTTATCAAAACTATCATGAACGATTTCAAATAGCTCTGTCACTTTCAATAGCTGTTAAATGAAACATTTTTAAAAAGTCAAAGTTTCTACCATTTTTTTTCTGATATGCATTACGTGATAACATTGATTTTTTTAAAAAAATGTAATGGCTGTTGCTACGTTTTTTCAGGTTAGGTAAGCATAATTTGTACTAAGTACAAATAAAGTTTCAAAACAAGATACTAAGAAGGTAACAGTAGTTAACACATTGAATATTGTTATCTTTAAATTAGTTACTCAGAGTACAAAATAATGGTAGTTAACTTTCCAAACAACATTAACACAAACATTTCTTTTCAATGCACTAAGAGAAATTATATATATATATATATATATATATATATTCTGTTGCTTGTTTTCTCCATTTCTCCATCCCAGATGTGCAATACATAATTTAAAATGGGAAGAAACTACTTGACATTTCTGATGTCACTTGGTAAAAGAAGTCTGAATTGGTGAAATGTTCATTGTATTCTAGTTGCTTACAAAAACAAAACTTAGAATAACTAGCTTTCAGTTTCGTATACTGCTAAATAAATTATACATATGGGAAAGATACTTTATTTTAGGTAATCAAAGATTTGTAGGAGATGACTCAGAAAAATAAGATAATTCCAGTAAATGACTGCATTAAATATACAAAACTTTTGGCTAACAATACTGAATGACTTTGAAATATAATACTTTGAGCTTTAAAATATCTTTTGAATATTTGGAATAGAAGAATTAATAGGAACAGAATATTCTAATGCTGTTCTTTGTTTCAAATGTAATTTTCCTAAGTAGTATACCGGCTATAAAACAATAGATCAGACTCTTAGTTCAATATAAGTAATACACTTTTCTTTTCATGCAGAGCAGTAATTTCATCTAAAAGAAAATAAAGGTTTCCTGGAAAGCCTATTTCCTAACTCAGCAAAACATTATTTATACGTATTAAGCTTCGGAGCCAAAAGAAACTGATGTGAAAATTAAGAGTTTCTTCCTTCTACCAGTCTGTTCTTATCTAGCTCTGATCTTTTGCTGCATAGCATCATTTTAGATTTCACAGCCCTTGTACCCTTTGTATTTTTAATTTCTTTGATAATGATGTTTTGTTCTTTTTTGTCAGTGGGCAAGAAAAAGAATGATCAAGTTAGTGGTTGATCGAGAGTACGAAACTAGCTCCACGGGAGAGGACAGCGCGCCTGAATGTCAGAGACCCCGTCTTCACAGCCCGAGAGCCCAGAGTAATATCAACGGCAACATATACATTGCCCAGAACGGCTCTGTGGTGCGAACCCGCCGTGCCTGCCTCGCTGAGAACTTGCAAGTCCCTGCTCCCGGCCCACTGGGGAGGCACTTAAAGCAATTAGACAAGTTGGCGGTGACACACGAGGAGCACGTTCCTCTGAACACGTTGTCCAAGGGCCCGTTTTCTACTGAGAAAATGAGCAAACGACCCACTCTGGTTACCTTTGCACCTTGTCCCGTGGTGGCGGAGGGTGCCGCGGTGAAGTCGCTGGGCAACAGGCTGCAAAGCACAGCGCAGCAGGGGTCAGGGACGGACAGCAGGCGCGTCAAGGACTCTTCGGAATTCCACAGCGACCACACGCAGTCGGAACAGGAGGAGGAGCTGTGGATGGGCCCCTGGAACAACCTCCATATTCCAATGACGAAACTGTGACCCGTTTTTTAGGAGTCGTTTTACTTTTTAACTTCAGTTTTTAATGAACTGTGCTTTTTATTGTCACTGAGAAAACAACGTATGGAATTTATATCATTCACAGAAGATAAAACTTTGAACTATATGCTTTAAGATTTTAAAAAACAGAAATTTGCACCAACACTTAGGTTAATCGTGTCTTTTTTTTTTTTTTTCCAGAAAATCTTTTTGGACAGACTCAATTCACTAAATAACATATCGTTTAAAAACTTGGTTGTTCTTTTGGGTTGACAATTATTTTTCATTTAAATAAATAAGAAATATGTTACAAAGTAATCATTTATATTTTTTTTGATTAACTCATTTCTAGTTTCCAGAACAGTTTTCTGTATACATAATTTTACTTTTCATAGACAAATGGAGAAAATACTAGAGGAATTTTTGGGAGCAGTTTTATATGATTATTGTCTGTGCTATTGTTAGTTGGGTTTTTTTTTTTTTAATGTATTTGGTACAGGGTCTCACTATGCAGCTCAGACTCATAGTGATCCTTCTGCCTCATCCTCTACTGCGCTGGGATTACAGGCGTGAGCTGCCAAACCCAATCTGAGTGCATCTGGAGTGGGGGGCAGCCAGCATGTCAGGTGGTGCTGGAGTTCGAACCTGGTCCCTGTACTTGTCTATGCAGGTGCTTAGTCTGCTGAGCTATCTTGCCAGCTCTATCTTTAGTTTTTAAATGAAAGATAGTTTCTAATACTAAAAGGAATCATCATCCAGTTATTATTTTGAATCATAAGCTGACATTTTCATTATTCGCTATAAAATTTTGCAGGTGTTAACATATACATGTTATATATAATGTATGTTTTTAATATATAACATATATATGTATATATCTTTAAAGGAACACTTAAGGTTTTATCTCTTTTGTAAATATAATTTTCATTTTTGTCTGGTGCCCCCTTACTGGTGGAAGTGTTCCATCCATAGCCAACGTGAATGATTTAGCTCATCCACTTGAAATTAAACAATCATTTGAAGCAACACAGAAATTTCAACCTCAGTCGAAGCTTACATGAAAAATGGCAAAGGGTGCAATGGGCTATAATGCATCTGCAACCACAGTTTCGGTGTGGAAAATACGGTAATGTCAGAAAAGTTTTATGTTAATGTCACCGGATATGAAAACTTCAATAATGTAGCACCAAGGGATTTGGCGGGCCAGACATGTCTACAATGAATGCCATGACGTTGAAGACTATAGTTCCCTAATTGTGAACGTGTCACTTTATTTAACTTCCCAGTTCCAATTTCTTTAAAGCCTACTCTGGTGCACATATTTAATATGCCTGTAGTCTAGAGCCAGAAAATGATCAATTGCCTGGGTATTTTTTTTTTTAATCAAAGAACACAGTCTTCATTCTTAACCACTGATAAAAGCACAATATATATATATATATATATATATATATATATATATCCTTTTAAAAACAAACACAAAAACAAAAAAAACCCTCTTGCCTTGTGTGACATATATCCTCCAGATGTAGGAAGAATGAAAAAATATACTTTAAGAGAATTCAGAATTCTACCAAATATGACTTAGTATGATATTGATATATTTTATCTCAACGTTTTGACAGTATTGACCAAGTTCAGATTTCAATTAAATTCTTTCATGCATGCTTATTATATGGTTGCAAGATTAACTAGTACCTTATTACTTATCCCCCTTACATTCTTCACATTTTAAAAATAGTTTATTTTAAGGCAATTTCCTTATTTCCAAATTGAATGAAATGTATTAACACAAACTTGTCAATATATATGGTTTGTACATTTTTATTTCATATTCCAAAAATATTCATGATCAGTCACATTAAATTTAATTGGGAACGCTTTACTAAATGCTTGCTAGACAAACAGCATTAATACGAGCTTAATAGAAATATAATATCATGTCCATAATCCACCAGGCCTAATAAACAAGAATCCACATTTTCAGAAGACCTAAAATAATTTTTAAGAATATGAAATTTTGAAAAGCAGTGAAAGACACTTTCGAATTCCAGGGCTTACTACTTCAAGCACCAAAGCAATTGATTTTAGTATAAAATATTTTGTATAGATCATAGATTAAACATACTATATTTCCTTATTAGCCTAACTACAGATCAATAAATGTTTTCATGGTATTTCAAAGTTATTTAAACTGACATTCCATGACATGCTCTTTCCATACAGCTGTATATAAAGTTTTTTTTTCCTTGAGTTTCTTGCTGTAAGATTTATGCTTTTGTTGTTTGGTGTTCCTCAAAAATTTACTTCAAGTTTTAGCTTACATTATCATAGTGTGAGTACTTATATTGTTGTTTGTTTTGCTTGTTGTTCTTAAAAATTTATTAAGCCTAAAATAGAAGTGAGGTATGTGGATTCAGACAAACTGTGTGATTCTTAGAAATATTCTTTTGTTGCTGTAGAGATCTGAACACTGATCTGGAAACCTGACGTTGGCAAAAGCCTAGTATTCTAATTTATGAAAAGTTGTTGAGTTTTCTAATACAGTCTTTACAAAGAAAACATGCAAATATTACAAGCTACCAAGTGTGTGCATTTCAGCACTTTCAATTTGATTAATTCAGAGAAAATGATTGTCAAGTTATATTGTCACTTTGTGGGGATGGCATAAGTGTTACACAGAGCAACCAAATCAAATATTTGGTGAGTATATTTTTGCAAAAAAAGAGAAAGAGCAAAAAATAAGACTGGGGCATTTGAATAGTGATTTTGATAGGACTTTGGCTACTCTATAAAACCCTAACTTGGTATGAAAACTGTAGATCACAGAAAGAAAACACTCAAATATGTTTAGTTTTAATAATGCTTGGTATAAATGACCTTCATAAAGAAATTTATTGTTTTTTTTTCTTAGAAAGGCGTAGGAGTTTTGTTCTTTTAAATCTTCTCTAGTTTTCAATAAAACAGGAGAAACAGCCTATCCTAGCTGAATAAGTTGAGAAACGACATAATAATAATTAATAATAATAATATAATAATAATAATTTCAGGAGATTTTGGTGGACTTTAAGGGAAAGATGAGGAATAGGAGAAGATGTCCTCAGAGTGACAAAGGACAATTGGGACTCAAGAAACATCAAATCACAGATACCAATTTCTCTCTATATTCATTTTATTTATCAATTATTTATAATGAGCCCAAGAGTTGTCATAGAATTACAACAGTAGGCTGCTCAAGGTATCTTGTCAAAATACAAGGGGAAAGTTAGATTTAATTTTTTTTTTTTTTTTTTTTTTTTTTGGCGGAACCGGGGATTGAACTCAGGCCCTTGTGCTTGCCAGGCAAGCACTTATTCTACTGAGCCATCTCCCCGGCCCCAAGATTTAAATTTTATATGTGATATTCATGTTATTTAGGGCATGTTGTTAAAAGCAATGTTAAAGCGTATTATTTAACCTAAATGGTTCTTCCAAGTGGTTGGGACAGAGCCTATTAAAATAATAACATTTATGTATTTATAGAGCCAGAAACAATTGAATATTGATTACAGAAGGAAGGCTTTTCATTATTTTATGAGTTCTGCCTTCTTTTGCTCTGCTTCGTTCACCATCCACACTTGAGATTGTGAGTGAGACTTATAGACCACTTCATTAACTCGTAAAATACACAGAAAGTGCTAAAAATCTATTCTCAGGGCAGATGCCCATTGGTGCCTGCAAATACCACAGCAATGGACTGAAGCATTGGTTCAAATAGTAGTGAGGACCTAGAATTTTTCTTGATAGGTTGTGTGTATTCTCAAATGATATATGGAATTCTCCATTGTATTTCTTGTGCTTATCCGTGAATTAGTTTCTCCTTCATGATAAAAATCTTTAGTTTTATTTGGATCTTTTTTTCTTAGGCTTCAATTTATGATAAGTTAGCACACATGTCAAGGACTTAAATATTGTCTATAACTTGAAAAATTATCAGCATGTCCACTAGTTTCCCAATTTCTTTATTCAAACATCTGTTCTTCATTAATAAATATTGGGTTGCTGTAAGAAGAATCTGAATTATAAAATTTAAGTTAAAAACCATTGTTAACATCACACAATGTGTCAAAATAAATTTCCATTTGAAAAAATGATTTCTCATTATTCTATAAGGTTGGGCTAAAAATCAGCATTTTTCCCCTTTGTACGTTTAATATTTCAGTTCAATAATAAAGAAAAGGTAGGCAGTTAACTGACAACGTGGAGAAAAAAGAAATGTGTTTAAAAACTCCTATGGACTCTTTTTTTTAAAAAATTTGTTTTCATGTCACCAAGTTCTAAAAAGAAACTGTTTCCTAACACAGAACTGATTTATTCATGAAATCATTTTTATGAACATTGAAAATTTCATATATATTTAGCCAACTTAGTTCACTGAAATGCTAAGCAACAACATAAATGTGTCAAGGAACATAGACAACATGAAGCTGCATCATATATTTTTGATAGAGTTTTGTTTGGTGTTTCAAAGATCCATACGTTATACAGATATATTTTCCTATATATTGTGTCACAAATTCTTCTATTTTGCAATTATCTGTCTATATGTCTATCATCTATCTTTCTATCATCTATCATTATCTCTCTGAAATACAATCTTATTTCTACTAACACATGAAGCTCTCTTTTCTAAAGTTACTAATATGATAACTTCAACTGTTATCTCAAACAAAGACGATTGCTAGGGAGAAATTTTCCAGAGAACCATCTTAAACAAAGAAAGAAGATTTACCCTTTTCTCTTGTGTTATATCTATTTCACAGCAGAATTTTATTTATCCAAGCATTTCTAGCTCTTAGCACACCGGTTGGCACAAACAACACTTGTTTAAAAATATTATGTGAAGTGCACAATATTCGTCTGAGATCTGTTATTGTGTAACTTTGGGCTCATCCTTTTACAGTTTATCCCATAGGAAAATGGCAGCATCAACATCATCAAAAATAAAAAATAAATTGGATATTTATCTGACCTTATTTGCTATCACTATAATCATATATGTAGAGAATAAACAATTATTTGCTATCACTATAATCATATATGTAGAGAATAAACAATTACGAAGTTGCCTTTGTTCTTCACAGATGTGTCCAGATTCTAATATTTTAGGTTTCTAAAGTCTGTGCACATTTTATT